AGAATACAGAACGTTCTGTGAAATATCTGTAGGGTACTGGGCGAGTACCGAATGTTTTGTGAAATATCTGTAGGGTACTGGGAGAGTACCCAACAGTCTGTAAAATCTCGGTAGATACTGGGGAGAGTACCGAACTATCTGTGAAATCTCTGTATNTCTCCCCGGCGCAAAGTACAGCAGTTGGGGGTGGAGGAGGCGAGGGTGAAACAGAAACAGCCGAGGGCGCGCCCGCGGCGGGGGGTCAAGTTGGAGACAGCGGCGTGCAGGAAGGCTCGAATGACACCACCACTGGAGACGCTATCGCAAGCAGCAGCAGCGGCGGCGAAGGCGTGCCGGTGAAACACCCGGCGGACGTCTACACCAGTGCGGGGCACGAAGCACAGGTCGCTGCCGCCACCGTTGCCGCTGTAGACAATTGAATGGAACATGAGCGAGAGTGCAGACCTCAGCAGCAGCGTCTCCCCGGCGCAAAGTACAGCAGTTGGGGGTGGAGGAGGCGAGGGTGAAACAGAAACAGCCGTACGTGTTTTGTGTTTTGCTTTGGTGCACTGCGTTTTCGCTCCAAATGACAACAACGGAGGCTTAGTGCTGCGTAGCTACGGCGGTTGATTGTTGATTCTGTTGTTGTCGTTCTTCGCGGTTTTGATTGCTGTACCTCTGAGTGGAGGAGGCGCCAAGGCAACCGCAGGTCAGGTGTAGTCGAACTGTTTTTTTTTTTCGTGTCAGCTTCATTAATTATAGTTGATGAGGAAGACCAATGGTGGCGCCGCTGTAGGGTGGGGTAGAATCAGAATGCACGGAGCCACGTTGATCTCGGAGTATAATATCAGTATTGTGTTTCATGCGGTGCAGACGTCCTTTTGTGCGGTGCAGGACGTGATGTCCTGTGACGCTGCTACTATCGGGGTAAGTACCGGGTTCGTCTGTAGGTACGTTGTTTGTGTACCATACAGAGGAGTTCTGTGAGACCTAAGTACCCTACAGAGATTTCACAGATAGTTCGGTACTCTCCCCAGTATCTACCGAGATTTTACCGAAAGTTCTGTACTCTCCCAGTACCCTACGGAGATTTCACAGAACGTTCGGTACTCGCCCAGTACCCTACAGAGATTTCACAAACAGCTCTGTAACTCTCCCAGTACCCTACAGAAGTATCAGTACCCTACAGAACGGACCTGTGCATTTTTGGTCTCTGTGTTTCTGCGCAACCTACATTTTCCTAGTGTCGTTTTACAACCTTCGATATTTCTCAGGTGCGGTAGCGAGATCTGGGGCAAGACATTCACGGGGAGGACAACGCCTGAAAAATAAAATCAAGCAAATAATTAAGCCCATATCAACACCAGCGCACTACCGTCGTGTACATGTACGATGCGTAGGTCGTAGAACACCATCGCTTTCAGCGTTTTGGTGGTACAGCAGTACGGGGAAATTCAAACGATGGTATGCATGTGTTGCAGCACAATAGCAGCAGTGCGACCTTCAAATCACCTTGTGTCGTAGGTTCATACAACACCTCGTGTGGTCGCCTTTCTGCTGCGAATGCGCACCTTTTGACATATGTTTCGCCTTCATTGGCCCCGGGGATGGTGCGTTAGTGGCCCCGGGATTTTACAGACACTTCCCCGCGTCAAAGACACTTTTTGGGGGGAAAACGTGGTGTGTCTTTAAAGCGGAGTCGACTGTATTGCGAGGTTGTCCTCATTTCCGACGAAGGGCCAGACTATCACTCGTCTCACGACGACCGTGACGCCATCGACAGCTAGCCTACCTCCGAGGAGCGGTTAGAACACCGTGGTGTCGTATCGTTCTATGCGCTCCTCGGATTTAGGCTTGGCTGTCGATGGCGTCGCGCTCGTCGTGAGACGAGTGATAGTCCGGCCCTTCATCTGAAGTGAGGACCTCCTCACAATATCTCGGTTTCTTCAACCGACGAGGCCGTATGCTACAGGGTGTGTTTTGTTCTCGTGCTGGGCGATTTTTTTTGTTTCAGTTTTGGGGAGGCAATATGGACAAGAGTGTGCCAAATTGGACATTTACTAGTACTTCACAACAGAAGTTTTTGTCTACTGCTGTGGCACCAACATATGGCTTGGTTTTTACGTATCTGGTGTTCGCTGCTACCAGTACATGTAGAAGAAGAGATTGCGTTTGGTTTTATTGTTGTCCGCAAAAACTGCCCAAGTCAGCTACATGTACACCTTCCAGTAGTTAGCAGTATGGGACTCTTGAGATCCTCTGATTGATAGTGAGCCTACAGCAATACTACCCCCTAAGATGCCACGTCCACCCAGAACTTCATACCAACGGAATCGCGATGTGCAATCCAACCAGAATGTTGGGCGCGTGGAGGGCATGCTTTGTGCCGTCCTTCAGCGAGAGGTTGTTTTTGTGTCTACACTTCAACCAGCGCTGGCAGAACGGGTGCCGTTTACTCCTACCCGTGGTCGTACAGAAGGGTTTCCCCCTACCCTTCCCGGTTGCGGTACTTTGCCTTCGGTTTTTAATGCGAGAAGAGTGCAGCACTCTCTTCCCTCCGTGTGCACGCGAACTATGTAGCGCTTTCCGTCCGGACCAGGGACGGAAGCGAGAGAAAAGCTCGCTTACGCCGGGATTCGAACCCCCGACCCTGGCCACTAGGAGGTTGTCCGAGGTAACCAACTAGACCAGACTACCGGGGCGACCGGCAGATCCAGATGTGCTCGAGAGGTTTTCTCATGTTTCGCCCACAACAAGGCGATTGTTCCGCAAAAAAGTGTTGGGATGTTACCTTTGTGATATGTGTAATCCTGCAATGGCCACGCTGTAGTGGCAGTGTGCAGAGGCTCACAGAGTGGCTGCAAAGTACACTTGTGTTGTAGACCAGAAGGTATGGTTTGAATTGGCGCTTCGTTGGCCGAAAGGTCAGAAGAGAGAACGAAGAAAGAGAGAAAGAGAGTGAGCGAGGGAGGGCGAGCATCACGGTGGCGAGCCATCCATCGTGATCACGGAAAGGAAACACACACGGGCTATTGCAACGTACCGATCACGGCAATAGACGGCCAACCCGACCTATGGCAACGTTATTACTAGAACATCCTGAGGACAATGGTCCGATGTTCCATACTTCCATGGTTCAATGTATAACCCGCAGGCGTGTACAATGATCCGATTACTGAATCAACATACCGACGACTATTCCGGTAATACTCCTTAGGTGAATACCTACTTGTTGTTTACAGCAGACATTGAAATTCCAACACTCCCCCGCATTGGAAGTCATACAAGAAATCGACATACCAATTGAATTCGGAGAACCGTTCTCAACGAAAAAAGGATGAAGACAAAGGATTCAATTTACGAATGATATAGCGTTTGGTGCTGTGTATCTTCATCACTTCGAAATACAGCAAGATTTCTACGGCGTTTACCAAGGGAAACTCCAATAGTTAACAAAAGAAATTCCAAGAGAGATACACAACAACTTGGAACGGATGTATATACCTTCAAGATATGCAATAATTAATGCATCTTGGTGCATGTTTGCAATAGCTAGACTGCTGTAGAAGCAGTGTTTACTTGAACCAGAAACCAGAAGTCAGATACCTTGACAGAATCACGAAGAATTCATACGTCTGGCAATATAGACTAGTCTATAGCACTTCAAACACATACTCTTCATCTTTTCGGTACATGTACCATCCAACGACGTGCAGCATGCATGCCCTGAAGGTTTGGTGCTTGATGCATCCCCTGTACGGAACACGATACAGAGAGTGAGCACATGCACTGAAGATGGAAGGTACTCAATGTGCTTGGTAGATCTCTGTAGTGACGAAAGACAGAGGTTTCATATACACGTGCCTTTCTTAAGAAGAAAAGAAATCACCAATCAGCAAAAACATCTACCAGGTCTCTGGCATACATCGTCTGCTGGTGCGGGGGATACTGCACCACTTCATGGATTCTCGCTTGTCCACAATATCTCCACTTCATACACTCGACTACTTAATCATGTAGTCGAAGGTTCCATCCTTCGCCCATCCAGCCGGAAGGAAGTTGTAGACGCGGATGTCCATGACGAAAACGTACCGATCACGGTAATAGACGGTCAATCCGATCTATGACAACGTTACTAGAGCATCCTGAGGACAATGGTCCGATGTACCATACTTCTTGCAATGTATAACACGTGGGTGTGTACAATTGTCCGATTACTTAATGAACATGCCGAAGACTGTTCCAGTAATACGCCTAGGTGAATACCTACTTGTTGTTTACAGCAGTACAAATGCTAATGACTGGCATCGAGTATTCCAACAAAAAGAAGCAAACCGCGTGCCTCTGGTCTCTCCCTCCCGCCCTCTCTCGCTCCCTCTCTCTCTTGATGTGTGTGTGCCTCTTTCTGTCTCCCTACTGGCTATCATGCCGTTTTGTGCGTTGTCGCTGTCCTGTTCTCCACACGCAGTAAGCCCGACAGGGTTCTGTTCTTGTTTCCCCAATGTCCCCGTGCTGGACGCTATGCTTTTCAGTACTTTGGGTTCTGCGGGGTCGTTCGTAGATATTGGCATTCGGTATGCTTCCATATAACGCGTGAGCATACTGGGGTTGGTTCAGTGTTGAGGCAAGGACAGGTGGGAGGCACGCCATGCGTGTCGCGCCGTCGACAGAGTGCACCGGACTGCCGGGAGTCGGGCCTAGCCTCTGCACCGTGCTTGCAGCAGGCCATGGATACGTGTAGCTGGCGTGATACAGAATCTCGAACACCACACACACACACACACACAGCGCAGCACTTCAAACCTGCGCCCCTGTTTTGATTCCTGTTTTTTTGTCAACATCCCTTAATTCTCTCGCAGGGTACCGCAACCCGCTAGAGCAAGGGATATCGTACGAGGATATGTACATGCCAACCTTGGATGGCATCAAGATCCACGGCTGGCTGCTCAAGAGTCCTGAAGCATCTAAGGTCCGCACCCTCTTGCCTCTGTTGTTGGTTTCTCTGTGTGTAGTTTGTTTCCAAGTGTTGCTTGAAGCGTAACGTACGTGCGTGGGTATACATCTGCACTGCTTTTTGTTGGGGTAAAGCTTAGCTTAGGCTCAGCTTGTCACCGCTGTGGGGACGCACTTCTCCGTCCTTAGGGGGCAGTGCGCGTACCTCGGAAGCACTGGGAAGGGGTCGAAGTTTTTTTTTTTTTTGTATCATACATGATGACGTTTCAACCATTGCAACAGCAACAACCATGACCTTTCAACAGCAACGACTCGATGTCTGGTCCACCATGGTTTGGGGGAAGGGCCCCTTGCTATTTTCAATGGGATACTCTGTACGTCAACACGACGACTCGTGTCATCTACATACATGATATATTTGCCAATTTCAAGCCCATGCATGTGATCATCTTTGTTTTAGTCTGTACGTGCAAGTCTTAGGCGTTACGTTGTACATGTCTTGTGTGTACAGTAGGCATGAGGAAGGATTTTCCCCAGAGAGGAGGCACGGAAAACGATGGTGCGTTCTACGCGGAATGGGCTTGGAGCACTGTATTGATCGCATAACTATCGTCCTCGCGTACCAGGCTTGCTTCTCACCCGAGCACGTAGGATGGGTGATGCGGATATATATTTGGCGACTCGGCAGCGTTGTATCCTCGGAGCGATCGGCCAATCTAGCCGTCAGTGCTCTAGGCTACTCTGCCAACCCGGAAAAGGTGGCAATTGATGGTATTACTATGTAGAAGAAGTATGCCCCCGCCCCCCACCCCGCCCCGGCTTTGTAGGGATGCGAGGTCAATGGTCTAACGACTACGGCATGCACGACCATGAGTGTCCCACCCCACACCCCCTCTCTTCTCTGTGGTAACATCGTGGAGACCCTCCCCTTCCTCCATATATTCCCCCTTTTTCCGGCAACCAGGTGCCGACGCTAGTTTATTTTCACGGGAACGCCGGTAACATCGGGTTCAGGCTCGTCAACGCGCGCCAGATGCAGCTCGCCATCGGCTGCAACGTGCTCATGGTCGACTACCGAGGGTGAGTGCATCCCCTACGCCCGTGCTTCCACTTCATAAATCATGGTAAACGATAAACACCACCCGTGATGAACAACAACGCGGTTCCCGAGGCGTTGAATGCCGAGGGTAGTCTTTCCGGGAGGCTTTGCTTGTATGGTCTTTCCGGGAGGCTTCACTTGTATTGGAATCTTGTCTCCAGGACAACGCCCAATAGTCGAGCGGACGGCGAGCATCCGTGATGTACATCAGTGCCGCAGTGGGCGATGCTTGTCTCTCGAGGAAATGAGCTCGAACGTGTCGCGTTCCGTGGCGTGGTTACGTCTCGCCCCGCCCCGCGCTGCTGCCTACCGTCACCCCTCGCGGGAAAGTGGCGACGTGAGAGGACACGCGAAATATTGCGAGAGCGGTTGGTTGTGCGCATTACCGGAAGCCGGAACGATGTTGTGTTGCCTAAACTGTGTCGTCGCAAGGACGCGCCAAGGCCATGTGCTCTGCGGAGATATGCGAAGGGCATATACGCTACGGACAAGGGCAACAGCCCGCCCCGAGCCATATTTGGCAAAGTAACGGTTGACCGTCGGTAATCGGTCCCGTGGGAACAGTTCTCCATCCTCTCGACGACGCGTTGTCAATGGCCCAACCGCTAAGGCATGCAAAACATGAGAATAACCCCCTCCCCCTTCCCCAAAACACCCAACACTGCCTTGTGTCGTGAAATGACATGGCGGCAGTTACGGGAAGAGCGAAGGCACGCCGACGGAGGAAGGGCTTGTGCTGGACGTAGAGGCCAGCCTTCGGGCCTTGAGAGAGAGCCCCAAGTCGGGGGTGCACCCAGACAAGATTATCTTGTTCGGCCGCTCTCTTGGCGGAGCTGTGGCCCTCGCCGGCGCCGACCGATATCCTGACCTGGTGAGGACACAAGGAAAACGCCTTTTTTTTATGTTTGGGTAAAGGGCTTCTTTTTCTTTCGGTTGAAACGCTTCTTTTTTGTTACATCAAAGCGTGTTTTTATGTTCGACCAAGTGCTTATTTTTTGTTCTATTGAAAGCTTCTTTTTTGTTGGATTTATTTATTTTGGGGGGGGGGGGGGCGGGGGGGGGTTGGGTAGAGGGTCAGCGGCGGCCGTGGTGG